GTTCCCTACCTTACTCAAAGTCCTGAGCTAATAATACTAAGGGCCACTATTTGAAAACTGGACAGTTTAGCTCCATGGTTCTTGATCTTTTCCTTCCTGCTCTCCTTGCCAAATTCTCCAAAGTATGATGTAAGAAGTTAATTCAAGAAATTCTCTATTCTTACAGATTGTGAGCATTTCCTCTGAGGAATAATAATTCAAGGTATTTGAGGTATTTTCAGACAAAAAAAGGACTCAGGACAATTACATTAAACTGCCCCCTCTCTTGAATGGATCAAGTTGAGCTAGCCAGGGTGCTAGTCTTTTTACTTACATCATGTGAAACCAGTGGGACCAGAGTACAGGGATACACAGTAGAGGCTACAAGCAATGGTCAATTCATCTGCCCGTGTGTTTCACTAGATCCAGAGTGTTTTTTAAAAATGCACCAAATCTATAGATTTCACATAAAAATGTGTATTTTATGGCAATCGGATGGTCCCTCAACCCTAGGCTCCCCTTTCTGGCAGCATTCGGTCAAAGCTTAGTGGTCTCAATCCCTTTGATGAGCCTTGGGTCCTTGGGTTCCTTACAGTCCCTACCACCCTCTATCAGATCTGTATACTAATGCCCCTGTAGCTGTAACTTTTCATTATGTTTATATTACTCTTTTTTCTTATGTAGAGAAATGTTTCTCCAAATGTTGTCTCTTTTGATAGTTTCAATGACAGGTCTCCAGTCCTCACCCTTCCTTGTACTTCCTCCCTTTAAAATGGTCTCTTCATGGGTAGAGTATACTTCCCTAATCCCCACTAATTTGCTCACCCATGTGCCTTGCTTTGGCGAGTGGTGGGGCCGTGGTGTGAAAATCACAGTGTCAGTTTAGGTCTAGGCCGTCTGAGACCTTGAGAGTTTTTGCTTACTCTCTTATGCCCTGCTACTGTCATCAGAAGAGTCCCCCAGTGGCACTGACCGCCTTCAGCCTGAGTCTCAGAATAAACATTTGTAGAATGGGGCTGCCCCAGCCACCCAAAGACCTGCAGTGAGAAACAGAAATGCCCACTGAAGCCCACCCTAGAGAAGCTGAGCACTTGGTCAATCTGAAAAATCTGTGACAATAACTATTGATGCTTTAAAGTCACTGAGCTTTGGGATGATTTGCTACACAGCATTATTATGGCAATTGCTAACTGATACATCTCTACCAAAAATTTAAATTAAGACACGCTGAAAGAATGAAACATCATAATTTTTTCTTACATGAAAACCTGTTTCTTATTTACTCTAATAGCCTAGACCCTGGAGGCATCTGAGTTTGCAATTCCTTCCATAAAACTATAAACCTAAGAACTAAAGAATGTTGGGTTTGTGAAATGTTTCTTAGCATGACTGCATATCCAGATTGGACTGAAATAGCCCAGTTTTTGCCTGTTGCTGTTATGTCCTGGTTTGAATACATTCATTCAACTTTGTCTCCAATTTTCAAAACTAGTTGAATCTCTTCAATTTCTCCTTTGGAACCTCATCCAACAGCTATTATTGTTGCAGAAAATACTGTACCTGAGATTTTTTTTTTAATATGATAGTTATTTGGTTGATCAAAATCATTAAGTCAGCATGTCCAACCCTTACAAAAAACTAGAATAGAATGAACCAAATTTAGTAGGTGCCAATCCTACTACTAACAACTACTAACTACAACTACTAACCAATCCCACAACTACTAACCCATCAACCAACTTTTCAACCAACCAAACTGGATCCCAGTTGACAGACGTTTATTAAAAGGCTGAAGAAGCTAACTCATAAACAGGAAATACCTAAAACAACAGTGATATTAAAAAAGCAAATGCCCTGAGAAAGTATAGTTCTGTCTTCAGAAGGCAGTAATTACTGCATCTGAGTACATCTGCTTAACAATCCAAGAAAGTGGGAGTTTCACTCTCTATTAACCTTAACCAGAGACATTTTCATCAAAATTAATCGTGATTAGTTTTTATTGCATTTCAAATGCTATCCTTTATTTGGGGTGGTCAGGAATGCAACTAAGCAATTCCAGACCATGCTATCTTTTATGAATAGGTCTATGAGGTAGTTATCAAGAGGCCCCTTATAAAAATATTGCTATGCAAAAGTTCATGAGTCAAAGCTAGACATTAATTTCCATAACTAGATGTGTCCTTAGAAAAGAAATGACTATATATAGAAAAGACAGCAAGTCTGATGCTCAAAACATGTCAAGAGTAGAACTGTATAAATGCCCACGCATATCATAGACAACAATTTCACAAAATGTTCCTTTTACCTTTTCCTTGTTATCATAATAACAACTAATCATTAATACTTGTGAGCATAGCTTGTGCCAAGTATAATTCTAAATTCTTTATATGCATTGACTCTTTAATCCTCAGAGTAACTCTGAAGTAGATGCAATTATTATTATTCCCATATTACAGATGAGGAAACTGAAATGAGGAAGAGTAAGTCACTTGCCCAAGGATATTTAGCGAGTAAATTCTGAAGCTTGGAATGAATCCTGGGCACCCTAGCCCCAGAGCCAGTTAAAGAAAGATGGTAACACTAACCTCACTGAAAACTGACACCACAGTCAATCAGTCTGTTATGTTTTGTGCCCTCCTGTAGCTTGCTCTATGCAGCCTCTACACCTTTGTTGACAGTTCTCTTGCCTGGAGTGCCTTCCCTATGGCTGTGTCCCTCCCATGTCAGCTCTAATCCCACCTGCTCCATGAAGACTCTCTGCCACTCCACAGTTTTCTTGTCACCCTCTTTTAGAACTCTGTTCCCGAACTCTCACCATCTAAAGATGGTCAGATCTAAGTTTTTGAGTCCTGGCTCTGCCACTTACTAGTTAAGTAATTTGGGGCAAGTTATGGAACCTCTCAGAGCCTCCTTTTACTCATATATCAAATGGGATGACAGGTTATCTATCCCATAAGATGGCTATAGTGGATCTCTACGGTTTTACTGTGCAGCACACCTTCTAGTAACACACTCCTTTCTTTCTTGTGTGAGGTCACCAGTTCCCACTTTCCCATAGGATTTGGGGGTGGCTAACCTGTATCCCTTAGGCTCCAGGTGATCACATCCTGGACTGGCCAATATACCCCTTCTTTTAGTTTGAACTTTTGCTAGAATCACTAAGAAAGAACGTTTCTCCTCTCTGAGCATGACTATACTCACATTGGAGGCTGGCTGCTGGTGGCCATGACTGGCATCACTGTGGACAGCTCTCTTAAGAATCAAAGCAACAAAGAGCCGAGCACACTTATGAGTAGGATGGAGACAGATTCCTGATGCCAGTGTAGGAATATCTGAGTGTAGCCTGCAGTCCACCTGGCCTTTTCAGTTAATTGATTCCCTTTTTTGCTTACTTCAGATTGACTTGTGTTCCTGTCAGTTACAAATAAGGGTCCCAACTAACCCAACTCATAAGAATTAAATAGGTGCTGGAGCACCTGGGTGGTTCAGTCAGTTAAGCATCCGCCTTTCTGCTCAGGTCATGATACCGGGGTCCTGAGATGGAGTCCCGCTTCTGGCTCCCTCTCAGCAGAAGTCTGCTTCTCCCTCTCCTGCTTGTGCTCTTTCTCACTCGCTCTGCTCTCTCTCTCAAATAAATGAAATCTTTTTAAAAAAAATTAAATAGGTGCTGTAAGCTACATAGCACCCAGTATACTGAAAAGTTCAGTAAATGATAACTACTACAGTGATTATTCCTCTACATTAGTTTCTCGAAGGCTGACCCAGTTTACCAAATGTAAAATCACCAACATTGTGGTGAGGAACAAATAAGAATATTTGCCTGGCAAAGCAATAAAACATTCTATAGGTTTTAGTTCTTGTGATCTCAGTCTCCAGGTTCCAATCTAATATGTCATATGATTGGTGGGAAAACTAAGACCCAAATCCTGGGACAAGAATATTGAGAAAGCTGTGGATTTGAATAAGCTACATGCTCAGGTGTTCCCAAGCCTGAACAAAGGACCTGATGCTACTATTGTTCTAACCAAATCAACCATCCGTGCAAAGGGCCTTGATTGAAACCATTAAGGCACCTCTAGGACACAGAGAAAAAAGAAACTAATATTGACTAAGTAACCTCCATGTGCCATGCTCTGTGCAAGACATTTCCTTGTATTTCCTACTCTAGAATAATTATTTATTTCCCTTTTGGTCAATTAAAAAGATGAACTGAATACATACTGAAACTATCTAACTCCTTCTATCTCCAAGGAGGAAACCTAATATATAACTGGAGAAAGACACTAAGTAATAAGCAAAATTTAACATGAACTCTGGCCAAGTTGAACTTGAACTGTTCTGTTTAAAGGCACACTGGAATAAATAAAGGAACTTCAAAGCAAATGCCCTGTTTTAGCTTGAATGTTTTATTGAGCACATGAGGAGAGCTCCTTTGCCAAAAATAGGGATGGTTAATGAGGAAAAATTGGTGTTTTCAGTCAGCCAGTTGGTTTCTGAGATAGGGCTGTCCATTCAGAGATAACTATATTACACAGAGAAGACAGAATAATGATCTGTCTGAGAGCCTCAGAGTTTTGAACAAAACAAAACCAGTTTTGTAAACTGAGATCAACTTAATGCATCCTTTTTCAAATACCTTCCGTGATAATACACATACATTTCCCTTCTACTAACGCCAAAACCACTGAAATATAATTCTAAAAGGAGGACATTTCTATGTTTTGAGCTTCTTGCCAACTACATAAACGCAGTCCTTACCTTTTAAAGTGAGGTATAGAAACCAATAGACTGTGCAGTATTATAGTTTCCACCATAATCAGCTCTTCTTGGGCACCATCCCGAAAATGATGCCCCACAGCTACAAAGACCTATTGGGTTCTCTGGGACCACACTGCTACTACTGGGCTCAAAGCTAAGGCAAGTCCCCCATTTCTGTTTGTATTTTTCCACAGCAATGGGTATATGTCAGAGACAGTCAATCTTCAATTATTTAGGTTTTAAGAGGAGAAGCCTGAGCTCACCTGCAAGTGTTGTGAGTTGTCAGCCATGCTATCTTCTCGCCTGCGGACTTCTTCCAGTAATTGGGCATTTTTCTTCTTTTCCAACTGTTGGTTGTGCTTGAGGTTGGCCACCTTCTTATTCTGATCCTTCATATGCCTGAGAAAAGTCAGCAGAGTGTGGTTAAATTTAACCACTAGAAGATCATATGTTATCACAACAGAAGTACTAAAGATAGAATATATTGATATGGATTCAGAAAAAGTTGGAACTTCAGAATATTCCATTAATTCAACCACAAGTATGTATTGAGCACCCCCTTAATGCCAAGTGCCAAGATGGCACTGGGGCTGCCATGGTGAATGAGACATGTATAGTCTTCACCCAACTCATGGAGCTTGAAGTCCAGTGGGAGTGACAGACCAGTATCAAGGAGACACAACTTAGGTTTCCTAAAGGAGAGGAAATAAATCACATGCTGTGACAGATGATGATGTGCATTGCATGTGTGGACAGGCATGGGACAGGAAGATGACTTTAGGTACTGTGGCCAAGAAACCTCCCTAAGGAGGCAAGACAATGGGAAACACTCCAAGTGACCAGCCAAGGAATCACCAGTGGAGGTGCTCCCCAAGTGGAAGGAGCAGCAAGTGAAATTCCCCAGGCAAGAAGGGACCAACTACTTTAAGGAACTGGAAGGCTGCAGTAAGGCTAGCCCAGGGCAAGGGGGATGAGAACCCACTCTTCCTGGGAACCTGGGATTGCAAAGGTAGGCAGTACTCAGGGCCCCTGGTCTGTGACGGGGCATTTATTTTCTTCTAAGTGGTTGCTCATCTAATTATTATTATTCTTTTGGATCATGTTCCCATTCTGAGATCATAATCCATTACTTTGATTTTAAAATAACAATTACAAGGCTCCAATCAAATACATTGTCATCACTTAGCTCAAACAGAATAACACTTTGGCTAATCATCATGTTATGTAAAGCCCTGGTGCTTGGAATAAAAGTTCTTAATGAATCTATAGGATGTCAAAGTGCAAAATCATAAAGTGATCAAGTGAGTAAAAGACTAAGGACAAAGGATGGGTTAAAAGAGTGGGAGGAGGAGTTCTAGGCTTAATGTGGACTATTTCACCAGCAGCGTTTAGCAAAACATTCCACAGATTTAGGCAACCATGTCCATGGCAGCTGGTATAAATCTAATCTCACACGTGAGGAGGCAGGAGGGCAGTACAGAGGGCTTGGGAGCACTGATTCCAAATAGGAGGGCCGCAAAACAGAATCTTCTGGGATCCTTCGAACTCTCCCCCCGCCAATCCCCAGGCATTCCTAAGTCAGCCTCTGTCACTGAGTTCTGCCTCCCAAAGCAAGAGAAAATCACTGTTCTCAAGGAAATGTGCACGAGATGAGAAGTGCATGATACACAGCAAACATGTCAAATTAAAACAATTACTAATCAAATGAAAGCCATGTTTAAGAAGAAATGTTTATTTGTTGTCCTCATAAAATTATATAGTCCCCTACTCCCTCTCACTCCAAGAAAATGAACGTCAAGAGAACTTATTAAGCTGAATGATCTTCTAAAAGAAATCCTGCTGATGAAAATATTCTGCACATTTTGGTCCTTATGAAAACTTACAGTACTGGCTGAAGCAGTGATTTAACAATTTCTGGTGACATTTATTATGAGGATTGTGGTGAGAGAGAACAGCCATCTATTTGGTCAACATTTGGATTGGATAATTTTTATCTGACATTTCCTCTTTTTTACCCAATACAGTAACATCCACATCTGAAACTACCAACTCAAGTCTACATGCTAATCTTCCTTTAGAAAATTATCTTTTGGTTCCTACAAAGATGTTGAGAACAACCTCTTGCTTCCTAACTGAACAAGGATATAGTATTTCCAAAACTCATACTAACCCGAGGCAAGCACATTTCCCAGCTCAGGAAATAAGGTCCATGTCCAATAATAGGATGTGATGGAGAGGTCAGTGCTATTAATAAGATTGTATAAGTAGAGGACATTTTTTTATAAAGAAATACTTTTTATAACTTTGAAGCACACACTTAAATAAAACCAACTGCTAAAACATTTTGTTCCCAAGTACCACTGAAAAAAAAAAATAGATTATTATTGCAAATATCATTTGCATAAAGAACTCTCCCAAAGCAGTCTGAAAATACATAGATCTTACTTTCAGGGATACTGCAGTATTTTTCAATCCAAAAATTAAAAAATAAACTTCCAAATCCATGCATCCTTTAAAGCTTCTCTGAATTATAAATGAGCGACTAAGAATAATGGATAACTGAAGTTTGGACATTATGATGGAGGCCTATCCTCCATATTCTCCAATCATTCCTTCAAATGCGGCCTGAAGTAGGACACTAGTGATTGGAAAAGAAAAGCTGAGTTTTGAATGGCACTGTTCAGGATTTTGCCAATTAGGTGGATGCAGAGCAAGGTGATGAAAATAATCATCTTGTCTTTGTACACAAGAATATCAACAGATACCTATATATACACACTCCTTTGCAGGAGTGCTATGGCTTTCAAATATATTTCTAGCAGCAGAACTCTTTCTTCTAGTAAAAACTTACTTGAAAACCAAAAAAGGAGAAGTATAGCATTGGCAGAGGTAGGAAAAAGACAACGGGTGGGAGAGACAGGGGAGCAGAGCCTCACCTCTAGACAGTCACTCTCTCAGGTACCCCTCAGAGAAGCCCCAGGGCTACCTGAAGCATAGGCTGAAACAGCAATTTATGAGGTAGGAAGAGAGAGAGGCAGGTACAGAAGTCATGAAATTTAAAAATATGAGATTTCCTGGTGAAGACAAAGTCCCCCCCCCCAAGAAGCTCACTAGACACTTCTTGAAGGAATGACCATTGTGATTTTTGCTAGTAATAATTCCAGCATCTCCAAGAATAAAATCTGTCAGTGACCTATCACTCCCTGCATCTCCTCCCACCTGCAGAAGTAAACCCACATGCATAAATAAACTGGGCTAAACTCAGTACAGCTCTCAATTGTGCTAAACTCAGCAAGGCAGAACCCCTGGGGGTGCAGAATGCAAAGCCCTCTGGCAATACTGCCTCAGAAGAGAATTATCACTGATAGCCGCTTCCCAAATTCCCACCTACTAGGCAACTCAGATTCCAAAGCTCTGCCAGAAACTGACCTGCTCCATGTTCCGAAATAAAGTCTCCTTGGGATGGCACTTTTCCTTCAGGGAAACACCATTATAAATATAGTCAATATTCAAATTATTAAGAAAGCCATTAAGGAGGAGGGGCAAATGGAGGTTAGTTAGAGAGTCCAGTGGTAGGATCAGTTTTCATCATTCAGCTTAGACTGACGAGTTTCATAAAGCAAGTCATGTCACTTTTCAAAATTCAGCCATCACTAAGGAGCTTGGATTAAATAAAAAAAAAAAAATTCCAATAGATATCAAGATTAACAACTATGGCTACTATATTAAGAAAGAATGTCAGAGAGGACAGAATCCTGCTATTCACTAGAACAATCCACCAAATTAAAATTAAAATTAGGAAGTCTTCCCTAACTTGCTGGTGAGAAAGTATCAGGCTTTGAGGCCTCCAGAATTACAGAGGTGGGAAGGAGTGTGGAGCGGGAAGTACATACATGCATGTGTATATTTTACATAAAGAAGAAAATCAAAACTTCTCTTTTTTTAAACCTCAGCAGAAAAAGATACCATTTTTTTTTAACCTGTGTACTCTCAAAAACATTAAAAGATTCATAATGTCTGTTGTTAGAGAGAAGGCCAGGATCTAGCTCTGTCATATGTGGTTAGAAAGAGTATACTTGACAAACATTGGTTGCAAAATTATAAACCAATTTGGCAGTATCCACCGAAATGTCCATACCTCTTGCCCAAGCAAACCCACTTCTAGGAAAGTAGTCTACAAAAATGCTTGCACATATGCACAAATATTTATGTATAAAATTTTCATCATAGCCCTGTCAAAGTGAAAATTGAAAACTGCCAAACTGTCGAGCAGGAGGCCGGCTGAAGAAATCCAGTGTATTCATACTCTGCGACTCCAAACTACCCTACAACATGAAGACAAAACTTAAGTATGGACATGGAAAACCCTTCAAGACCTATCACTAATCAAAAATGAAAGCAGGTAGCAGAACAATCCATAGAGTCTGACCTTATTTATGTTAAAATATAAAAACCTATTTGGATGTATATATACACACATCCACTGCAATGAAAACTGATGGAAACTCCACACCAGTCTGTAAACAGTGGTTACCACTGAGGAAGGGAATAGATCAGGGAAGAAGGGGGTGTTTTCATGTGTTACTGTATGCATCTGTGTGTGTATGTGTGTGTAAGCGAGGCATAAACATGTATAAGAAAATGCACAGATAATTAAGTGTAAAACTCAATTATTTTTGACCAATCAAAATATAGAGCATTGCCATCGTCCAGCCGCATGTCCCTGTCCCCAGACTGGAAGAAAGTGCTATCCCAACTTTTATCTGCATGGATTTGTCTGTTCTTGAAATTCGTATACATGGAATTATACAATAAATGCCCTTTTGTATTTGACTTCTTTGACTCAGCATAAGTTTTCTGAGACTCATTCATATTGTCCCTAAACTCCTTCTTTTGCTGAAATCAAGTGGTATTCCATTATATGAATATACTACAGCTTGATTAGCCATTCCCTTGTTAAATGAATATTTGGACTGTTTACAGTTTTTTTTTACTGTTAAGAATAAGGTTGCAATATAAGACAAAATCAGAGAGGGAGATAAGCCATAAGAGGCCCTTAACTATGAGAAACAAACTGAGGGTTGATGGAGGAGAGATGGATGGGGAGGCAGGGTAACTGGGTGATGGGTCTTAAGGACAGCACGTGATGTAATGAGCACTGGGTGTTACACGCAACTGATGAGTCACTGAAATCTACCTCTGAAACTAATAATACTCTAGATGTTAATTTATTGAATTCAAATAAAATAAAATTATAAAAAGAATAAAGTTATAATGAACATTCTTGTATTAATTTTTTTGTGGACATATGTTTCATATTTCTTGGTTAAATAACCAGATGTAAGTATAATTGAGAGTGTAAAATGGTATAACCCCCCTGGAAAACAATTCAGGGTTAT